AACGAGCAGAGCTCTCGATGGGCGGTCTTAGGAGATCGGCTAGAACTGTACAGTACTAGACGAAAATGTTTAGCAATTTCTTAAAACAAAAATGTATATAAATTAACAATAGAAAACAAAGCAAAAGTTTTATAGGTGTATAGAACGTTTAGTTAATTCGCTTGTTATTATTTTTTGCTAAATATGCTTCTAAATAAAGCATATTCTTAAATTTTAACGAGGCAGTTTAAATAATTTTGCAAAAGGTACTGTACACTTTTGTTTAGTTCTCGCTCTATGATCGGTGGAGAAATGAGCTCCGCAGACAAATATGATTGAATTTGGAATTATGCTACGGCGCATAAAGGGGCATATCTCTAACTTCTTGAAACGAACAGTAGGTTTGTTGGACACCTTCTCAGGCATGAAGGTCTAGTCAAAGACATATTTGAGGCAGAAACAGGAGTTAAGAGGAGTAGAAGTAGACCTAGATTAGATTACTATTCGCAAATAATTAAGGATGTGGGATATTCTAGTTTTAAGGAATTAGCTCAGGACAGGAAGGAGTGAAGGTGCGTGTCCAACCAGTCTTAGGACTGATGATCTTATGATGATGATGATAATTTATTTACTTTGGTAACTATTTAAAGTTTATATACTTTCCAGTATATTATATGTACGTTATTTAACATTCCTATGTTCATAGCATAAAAATTTTACAATACTTTTCTTAAATCGAGAAACGAAGTGGAAGTCAGTAAGAAATAGGCGCAGGCATGAGAGGTTAGTAAAAGGCATATTAGAAATAAAAACAGAGGGATAGAATTAGATTTAGATTAGATTAGATTACGGTTTAGAAATAGTTAAGGATGGGGGATGTTCTGGTTTTAGGGAAATGTGAAAATTAGCTCAGGATAGGAGAGAGTGGAGGTGCGTGTCCAACCACTCTAAGGACTGAAAAATTGCGTATGTATTTTGACTCCGTTATTTACTTATAGTAATTAGAGAAAGAAATAGAATCTATCAGATATGTACGACTTCGTTATATTTATTAATGATTTATTGGTTTTTTCCTTTTTGCCGGTATTGGCACCATTATCCTGTACCCGGACGGATTTTAAAAAGAGAGAGAGAGATCTTCTGGTACCGGATCGAAGCCGGATACCCGCCCCATTTATACTCATAATTAGAGTTCGGATTATATGCAAAATGCATACAACATATATGCAAGCATATTTCCAAGAATTTCGAATAATGCATATGGATTTCAAATAAGTGCATATTTTGGTTTATACCAAAACGTTTAATAATAGATTTGGGTAGCTTTTATGCAGATAATATATCGAAAGTTAAGTTAGGTTAAGTTAGGTTAGGTTAGGTTACTGTGACTTCTTGCGAAGTGGAAAGAACGTTTTATGTTTACAAACATTTTTTATCGGATAGACGACATAATTCTAATATGGATAATTTAGAAATACACTTAGTTTTATATTGTTATAGTATGTCTGATGATAACGTTCGTTGGTTCTTTTGTAGTTGTGCTATTATAATTTAAACAAATACAAGTGTTAACAGAATTTCTTTGTATTTTATTTAAAATTTAAATGCATATATATGCATATAAATGCATATTAATGTATATAATAATGCATATTTTAACGATTTTTAAAGTATATTTTCATGCATATATTTGCTATTTTTTAGTGCATATATTCCGAACTCTACTCATAATAATAATAAAAATAACGAGTTTATTTACGATTGTGTATCTAATTTTACTAGTAGAATATAGACTTTTCCGAACGGTATCAACAAGTAATATGCTTTCCGAGCTAAGTTGTCATGATGCAATTTGGTTTGAAGTACCAGACGTTTCGTCTGCCTCAGGAACGTAGACGAACTCTTTTTGGTGAAGATCCATTATTATGCGGAATTCGTACAGTTCCCTCTTCCGAATTGTGTTACACATTTTCAAATATCGTTCAGACTTTTCCTCTATTATGTTCTAGAGGGACAACTCCCTTCAATTTTACTGATCGTGAGGGTGAAAGCAATGTAAAAAGGAAGCCCGTTGAAAATATTATTTACTTTAGTATTATATTATATATTCAGTTCGTTAGTATTTTTTTTTTCAATTCTGGTGAGACTCTTGCGTGTTTTTGACGATAATTACAATAGCACGGAATTAAATCGAATGCCTTCGGTAATCGCTTTAAGTTTTCCACTTTTAGCCCCTTTAATCGCGCTCGCTATTTCGTTTCCGGTTGCTCGGATACGAAGGGAACGTTTGCCATTAAGAGCCGATGTTCACGTGTGGCTTGCCCCTTTTACGACTCCCTTTTGCCATCGATACTTTCCAGCCGCAGTTCGAGCACTCGTTTTTGCTCAATGTAGCAGCCGTGAATTGCTTGAAACAGCTGCGTGTTGGTGTTGTAAGGATCAGGATCTGGGGCACCGTGTAATATCGTATTGACATTACACAATTCTGCACTAAAATTCTGGCTAGGATATCTACATATACTTGGGGGAAAAGACAGGCTGTAGATGGAAGTTTTTAAAGTGATGCACAGGGTGGGGCAGAGAAATCTGATGAATTTCAACCCATTAGCTTTTTCATGTTTTAGATAATGCATCCGTAAGATGTGCTTCCTGCGACCTATACTCTTAGTTACTTATCGTTGGTGTTAGCGTAAGGGTAGGGTGGTGGCGTGTAACACCAGGGAACAGCAGCAACAATTTTTCCTCGTTAATTTGAGGTTATCTGGTAGTCGGTAAAATTAATTCAAAAATGAATTCACTTATATATTGACCTCCCTCGTTACCGAGCGGCATGGCCTAGAGGTCTAGACCATTGCTTAGCATTCGGGAGGACGCCGGTTCGATTCCGGGTCCGTCTGCCTTGGTCCAAGTTTTTCNGCTACAAGCTATCCAAGGATGGTACTATAGAATGTCACCTCAAGGTAGGCCTAGTGGCGTCATCTCTTGGTTAGGCCGGAAACTTATCAATCCACCCTCGTATTTCATTCGAATATCGAAAATTTTTACGTTTATTTTCGCAACTCCGTTTTAGTACTGTTGATAAATAAAGTTGTTAATTAGTTTTCCCCGAGTACAAACAGTTAATTGATTTACCTCAGAAATGGGTAATTTGCTTGAAACTTATATACACGTAGGTGTAATATTTGATGAAAAGCAAATTAAAATTTATAAAACTTTTTGTATTTCGTTCAGCCACAGCCATGAACTTTTTTGAACTTCTCAAATTAGTCCTAATGTTTTTTGCGCTTAGCAAAAATTCAATCCATCAAATTAATTTTAATAATTCCGTTAAAAAACGAAAAGTCGCTTTGTAGAGTAAAAAGCTTTCTTTTTACCGAATAATACAATAAGCTTGCCCTTAATTTTTGTCAATTGTTAATTCAATAACTAGACATCACAATAACTTTATTGATTTCGGATACAACAGCTGCAGGGAAAAGACGTGCTGTATTTTTTGTTCTTTGTTATTCCCCCCTCAATTTACGACTTTGAATCCGAATTAGGCCACAAAATTTCCTCACAGGTTTCAGTATTGAATGAAGTTTCTTAATGATAAAATCGCGACAACACTCGCCTGTTTTTCTAGCGTAACCTTCTGATACTAACAAATAAAACAAAAGCATTTTTAGGGCAATTAATTAAGATGGAAAACGAAAAAAAAAGTCAGTGCCGGCCCGAGATGGAACCCAAAACCGCCGCCGTACTAACTAATCATCCTTACCACTTGACCATTTGCGTTTACTGAAAACTGTCCCATAAACTAAGATCGTATTGATCATATTTGAATTAATTGGCACAAGGAACGTCAAAGACGTCAACAATGTAGGTTGATTTGTCGTATTACCTCACGTAGTATTGCTCACAGAAAAGTCAAATATTGCATCTTTCGAAGTTTGAAGTTGTATATTTCAAGGCAAGTGTAAGGCTAAATTCTAACTTAATATCGCAAACTAAGGTACTAATGCTAACGGGCGGGTAGTCCCTCCTTTCTAAAGTCTAATGCAAAGCCGGAGAATAGAGCGGATGGCCCTCTTTAACCTCCTTCATAGGATTTGGGGTTAGGGAAGAGGCAGATGAGACGGATAAAAAAAAAGATAGAAGGGAAGTGTAAGATTATTTGTAGAATATAACTGTCCAGAATTTTTGTGATAATCCACAGATAAATTTGGAAATTGACAGGTGGATCTGGATCGATCTACTGACCTCCCGAATGCTAAGTTAGGATCTAGAGCTCCAAATCACTCCGTTCGTTAATTTCTTGATCCATATTAACCAGTTTTACAAACAATAATGAATACTGTAACATACCAACAAGAAATCTGGTCTGAATGATCTTCCAACCCTCGTGCCGCCTCGGTAAACGGCCATCGAAACGTTGGCGCCATCGCAGGTTGCTGTTACCGTCAATTCTTTGAATTCCGCTTGCTCGACTCGAATATCGTAGTCGCCGATACGTTTTCCGCGGAAATACTTCGTCCAGTCGGTGTTTTGGTCATCGATGACCAGCAGCGTTAGGTGTTTACCACTGCCTGATACTGACGATGTCACGCGACTCGCGCTCGAAACGGCGGCGCCTAGAATGGAAGCACCTTGGTCTCTTGCTTGACCTACGTAAAAATAAGATTACAATTTAGTTTACAAAATCGATTCAGGTATTCGATTAATCGATTACAAAATCGATAGACTAAAGTAGTTATTATAAATTGTCAATTTTCACATTTTTATTTCTCTGCTTAACATGGAAAAGTTTCAATAATGACTATCCAACCAAAAACTCATAAAAATTTTCACGATACCATAATACATCTAATACCTATAAAATGGGATTTCATTTTGTGCGAACTGCATGTAAAAATATTTCAGAGGAAAGCCAGTAAAATATTTTATGTTCAAGAGGTTTTTTAACTTGTTAAATTACATCGTAAATGTATGACTACAATGTTGGTGGCAATACCTAACAACTGTTCGGCGATCCGAAGAAATGAAATACATATTCTTTTTTTCGTTCTAAATTATATTGTTTTAATACTTTGGGTACTTACAAATCGGAAATTATTAGGAAATTTCGAAATCCTTGTTGTATTATCACCCTGTAGCTATACGAATCTTTAGATGTTTGAAAGTGTCAAAAAATTTTTTGTTTAGAATTTTAAAGAAAAAACTGTAAACTTTTGATTCATTAAGGTGTAGGTAGGTATTATTTATCAAACAGACTAGTATTACTCTTTCAAATATGGACGAATGATACCATCGCCAGTGGTATAGTCTTTGAATAATGTATAACTTGACGGTGTTTACCTGGAAGTGTAAATTATATTAGAGGGCGGCAAATCGACCTTCTTCTGGTTTCTTTGTAAGATGCAGGGTCAAAAAAACAATTTTAAAAACTTTTGGGTGTTTCATTCCCACCAGCCAGTAATGCTGGTGGGTGGACAGTGCCTCCGGACTACGCTGGAAGGTAGGGAGAAAGGCCCACTTCAGCCTCCTTTCAGGAATCGTGGAAATGGGTGAGAAAGGTGAGATGGACGAAAATAAGACAGAAGAGAATGGAAAGATTATCTTAGGAATATTTACCTAAGTGATTCAAGAAAACCACAGAAGAACATGGATCAAGGCAGATGGACCCGGAATCGAACCGGCGTCCTCCCGAATGCTAACCAATGGTCTAAATAAACCTTTAGGCCATGCCGGTCGGTACAGGGTCGAACTTCTTAATAGCAAATGATGAAGTTTGAATACTATTTATATACAGGTCGAACGAAGGAAGCTGGCGAGCGGTCGTGCAACTACTTGCCCATTTATGACCTATTTGGGTAAGTCACTTGGAACCGATACACAAATAAGCTTTCAGTAGGCGTAAATTATAGTACTAATGTAGATAGGACAGTGGCGTAGTAGAAAATAATGTAGAAACCAAAAAGAAAAAATAAACCTATTGCTTTTGTTTTATAGTTAGTTTTCACATTCACTGTCATCATGGGAATCTCTATCACTGTCACCAACATGAACAATTAATTCATCTGTTTGTGTGTCTATTACTTGCTCACTAATCCGTACTTTTAAATATTTAATCTACGCCCCTGATGGGAATACTGAAGAATGAGGGCTGCAATCGTTATACCTAAAACTACCTACTTTTGCCACAGCGCATCCACGCCATTTTAAAATTTCCGCCAGCTTCCATCGTCAGGCCTGTACGCTCTCTGAAAATGTCTTGTTAATTCCTATTCATAATTGCAATGACAACTCAGTTACTCGCAGGTGGTTTGTTATAGTCCTTCATTGCCTTCCTGTGATAAGACCATCGGCAAACCCCGTCAAGTCATAGTACAAGGACTATACCTACATAGGACTCATATTTTAACTATGGCGGTTTCCCCATACCGCATCGCCTCTACGATTTTACGGACGCATATTGATTTTCAACACGCCCAGCACGTCAAAAGATTGGTAATTTTCAATTAAAAATTCCAATTAAACGATAACACCCTCGATATCGTCGAAGGCTGGCCTTTGGTACAGTTCCATAGTTTAACTTTAAGTTTTAATTGAAATAAGGATAAGTATGAGATATTTATTGTGATTAAAATAGTTATTACATTTCGATATATAAAGTTTGAAAACTTTAAGCTACAAATGGCTCTTGGAACGTGATTTATGTCAAGAACTATCGCAAAGCTTTTCAAATAAGGACAAGTAATGTGTAGCATCTTCTAGAAGGCAAAAAGTTTAAATTTCTGCTTTCATCGCATAAAAAGGGAAAAAGGGACACCCAAAGTATTTCCAACTTATTCAACCTTAGTAAGATTGATAACCTATGTTTGTAAGTAAGCAGGTAAATGACCTAAGACGGTCACAATTTCAATTTCAATTTCGTTCCTTGATTCAAGATTGGAAAAGCAATTAAGAAGCGAATAATGTCGATACTCGTCCGCAAATTGCTCTTAGAATTAATTATTAATTTTAAATTTCTGGGTTACGCAAAATACTTTGTTTGAACTATTTGGAAATTAGTCATACATTTGACGCTCGATTATGTGAACCAATAAAATTCAGGTGCGATCACAACTGTTCGTATAATTGAAAATATAATTCTTTGCGTTGAGAGTTAATAATTATAGTTTACTCGAACATTGTGTTATTTGCTTTTGAATTTTTCGCCTGTAAGGTTTTTTAAAAAGCCTTGTCCCTACATTTTTGCAATATCAATTAATTCTCAGTGTCTAGATACTGAAACTTTGACATCTTTTGATGAATTAACTCCTATCGTCGTTATTTTTATAACTTTTTTCATTAATTTTATTTAACGAACAAAAAATGTCTAGCACACTTTTAGTTTGTCGCAATAAATGCACTACGACCTATGAGTATTGAATACCAATTGGTAAAACGGTAAAACTTCTGACGGTATGTTAGGGGAGTACCCGAGAACTAGAGAAAATAACTAAAAAAAACCCTCATTTAATCGATGTTGCCCTTATTCACTGCAGACAATTTGTCATATAAAGTTTTATAATGGATAGTTCATATAAACGTTGTTCACATAACCGAGCGTCTCCCGTATTTTAAAACCAAAAAGGCATAGCAAATAAATTTTGCTTTCCGTTAGGGCACAAATTTCTTACTTCTAAAAATGAAAAAAGTTATAAAATTTAAAACACTGCTTTCTGAGACTTAAAATGTTAAAGTCACAATCAGCATTATGCAACAAACAGTAGAGTAATTAATTATTCAAATTCTTTGTTTAAAATATTGATATATATATTGTGAGCTGAAAGGAATACGTTTAAATAATAGAAATTCATGAAGCATGATACTAAACGTAAGATAAAGCATCGCAATTTTAAAGTTCTTCCCATAACTAAACCTTTAGAGTATTTGAAAATGATGATATAAACAAAAAAGTTTCAGATGTTTTTGTGAACAAAACTTTTAATAAAACTTTTTTTAACGTTTTTCATTGTTTCTAGGCTTTACTTTACAAAAAATGTTTCACTAAGTAGTCTGTGAAACACCCATTGTTTTAAGTTTAATAACAAACTTATTTTGAATTATTTTTCCTAAAAATGATCCCTGTGTGGCCCATTTTTTTCCATTCTAACTTTCTATTCCTCTAATTACCTAAATGCTTAGTAATCACTATCACTATATAGTATAAAACAACGTCGTTTCCCGCTGTCTGTCCCTACGTATGCTTAGTTCATTAAAACTACGCAACGGATTTTAATGCGGTTTTCTTTAATAGATACAGTGATTCAAGAGGAAGGTTTATATGTATATCACATGCATAATATAGTTGAGAAACACTGATAATTTTAGAGGTTTCTAATGTGATGTCGTAAATAAACACATTTTTTGCGCTTGCATTGCAAACGCTGGCTAAACCCTACGAGATAGATCAAAATAATGTACCACAGTATTGTACATCTTAAAAAGGTCTACAAAAAAGTCCGCGATGGTATATGTCTATCTCTTAG